GAAAGTGCATGGTCGTCTAAACGCAGGTAGACAGAAAGCGCTGTCTAGCGCGCAGGTAGACAGAAACTGGTCGTCTACCGCGCAGGTAGACAGAAAGTGGTCGTCTACCACGCAGGTAGACAGAAAGTGGCCGTCTACCATGCAGGTAGACAGAAAGTCGTCGTCTACCACGCAGGTAGACAGAAAGCGCGGTCTACCACGCAGGTAGACAGAAAGCGCAGTCTACCGCACAGGTAGACAAAAGAGCGGTCTACCACGCAGAGCGCGGTCCACCGCGCAGGAAGACAGAAAGCGCAGCCTACCACGGAAAGCGCGGTCTACCATGCAGGTAGACAGAAAGCGCGGTATGCCACGCAGGTAGACAAAAAGCACGGTCTACCAATGTCTAACATGCAGGTAGACAGAATAATAAGTGTGGCGTACCACAACCACGCAGGTAGACAGAAAGCGCATGGTCGTCTACCACGCAGGTGGACAGAAAGCGCGGTCTACCACACAGGTACACAGAGAGTGGCCGTCTACCTCCCAGGTAGACAGAAAGCGCGGGCTACCACGCAGGTAGACAGCAAGCGGTCGTCTACCACGCATGGTAGACAGAAAGCGCGGTCTACCACGCAGCTAGACAGAAAGCGCGGTCTACCAGCAGGAAAAACAGAATGCACGGCCTACCACACAGGAAGACAGAAAGCGCAGCCTACCGCACAGGTAGACAAAAGAGCGGTCTACCACGCAGAGCGCGGTCCACCGCGCAGGAAGACAGAAAGCGCAGCCTACCACGGAAAGCGCGGTCTACCATGCAGGTAGACAGAAAGCGCGGTATGCCACGCAGGTAGACAAAAAGCACGGTCTACCAATGTCTACCATGCAGGTAGACAGAATAATAAGTGTGGCGTGCCACTACCACGCAGGTAGACAGAAAGCGCATGGTCGTCTACCACGCAGGTAGACAGAAAGCGCGGTCTACCACACAGGTACACAGAGAGTGGCCAGAAAGCGCGGGCTACCACGCAGGTAGACAGAAAGTGGTCGTCTATACCGCGCAGGTAGACAGAAAGCGCTGCGTGCAGGTAGACAGAAACTGGCCGTCTACCACGCAGGTAGACAGGAAGCGTGGTCGTCTACCACGCAGGCAGACAGAAAGCGGACGTCTACCGCGCAGGTATTTAGAAAGTGGTCGTCTACGCAGGTAGACAGAAAGTGGTCGTCCACCACGCAGGTAGACAGAAAGCGCAGTCTATACCTGCCAGGTAGACGAAAAGTGGTCGTCTACCACGCAGGTAGAGG